ATCATTTGCACGTGCTCTTCTGCTTGATATGGCAGACCGAAATATTTTTTTGCTCGTGAAGCACCTCAGTACTACTGCCATTTCCCAAGAAAGGTGACCGAACTTTGTGCGGTAATTATCGCGGGATTAGCCTAATTGATGTGGCTGTCAAAACCTTCGCACGAATTTTGCCCTCTCGCTTTGCCAATGAGAGGAACCTGTGAACTCGCTATACTCAAAGTGGCTTTCGTCCAAGCAGAGGATGCACTGGCCAAATCTTCACTCTACGTCGGGAACTAGAACACCTCTAGCATTTCCAGTGGCCCCCATTTGTGTGCTTCGTTGATTTTCGAGTTGACTTCGGCTCAGTTGACCGTGAAGTACTTTGGAGAATCCTACTTGACGAGGGTGTGCCGGTTAAACTCGTTAACTTGATGAGATCAAAGTACCGGTGCAGGAAGGCCCGGATTCAGGTGTATGAAGAAGAAACAAAGGAATTTGACATAAATACGGGGGTTCGGCAGATTTGTCCAATTTCTCCAGCGCTGTTCAACTTCACAATCGACTGGGTTACGCACCATGCCCTTGACGTCTATCGTGGTGTTCACGTTAGCCCTGACTTCTGGCTGTCGGACCTGGGATTTGCTGACGATGTCGCTCATTAGTGATATCGCTACCCTTGCAGAAGACCCTATATCACTACAGCCACTGCTAATTTCGGTAAACCAAGCAGCCTCTATGATCCGCCTAGAAATTAACATCAGAAAAAGGAAGTATTCCTCATCGTCAGCCACCCAGTCCGCCCCGTCGCTCTCCTTACAAATCATCGAGTGTATTCCTGAATTTAAGTACATTGGATCCACTATTCTCCCCAATGGTCAGGCTACATCCGAAATACGGAATCGTATTGACAGAGTCAGAACGGCCTTTTTACAACTGCGAAGGACGGAAATTAGTTTGAGAACGAAAATTCGAGTATTCTCAGCAACCATTCATGCCATTTTACTCTATGGTTGCGAAACGACCGCTGCGATCCGAAGACACCCGGAAGCTGGAAGTCTTAGACCACTGGTGTCTAAGGTCTATATGCAAACGAAGTGGTATGAGCGTATCACTAATGACGAAGTTCGTAAGTGCTGTTATGGTCTTCCGAAGTTCTCAGCACTCATACAACGCTGAAGACTTCAGTGGTTCGGTTAAGTTCTCCGCAGACCAGACACTGACTTTACTAACGCCGTGGTCTAGTCCTCGCCTTGCCAGTTGGTAACGTCGCCGTGGTGGACAATTGAAAACGTGGCTCATTGCAGTGAAAGCGGATGTCGATCTTCTGGGACTCCATGTCGTGCATGGTGCTCGTCATTGTAGGAATCAATGGATCAGTATCTGCGTGGAGCTTTCCGGCGACCGCCGCGCTTGGGCAGCTGCAATTCAAGACATTCACGAAGCCGGTTCATCCTGTCGCAAAAGCTAGCCGCAGTAATTTAAAGTAAGTAAGTAAATGCGGAAGCCGCGCTTGAACGCTCAAAGCGTGCACACTCCGATTCTATATAGCATGTTTGTGTTATCTATGGACTTCAAATCGCAGAGTAAGAGTGCACCGAGATCCTTCAAGGAAGATGGGGGATGTAGTAGATATGATCGGCTAGAGAGTATATGTACGCTCAGCACCACCCTTCTGCAGACTTAGATATAACGAATTGACTGGGTTTACCGGTAGGTCGACCAATGCATACAACGTAGACAGGCGGTCGAGGTGATGCTAAAGTGCATCGCAGTAGTCGGGAGCATCAAGTACTTTCCAACTCTTCCAGCTGTCTGCAAATAAGGCAAGGGGCGACAAAAGAAGCTGAGGTATTCGTTGATGTGGATCAGGAACAAAATGGGCCCTAGTTCTATGCCCTGGGATACGCCACTATTGGAAGCGCACCAGTCCCCGTTAGATGGTCATCCAGCTGTACCCTCCAATTTCGCCCAATGAACACTGGTCACTGGTCCAGTGATTCAGTAAGTCATCAAGACCGCACGTGCTAGGTATGTTGAGGAAGACCACATGGCCGGGCATGTCGAGCGTTTTACGGTCAGACAAATCGACCGGTAATTGTCCACTTTAGTTAAGTCACCACCATTCAAAACCGGCTTCACTACCGAGCCTTACCAATCGCTCGGTAACGTACCTTCGGACAGCGATCTGTTAAACAGATCAGTCACGAAAAGCGAGATGACGGTCGACAGTGACTCAAGAATCAGCGAGTGGAGCCCATCTGAACCAGCAGGCTTCGTGCCGTTTACACTGGCAAGAAGATTGTGGATACCTTCCACATCACAATCCAGGCTATGAAGTTATGTAACGGCTGCACACGTCGAGCTTGGTATAGATATAAGTCCAGTTACAAATACAGAAGCGTAGTGCGTCATCAACGCGGACGCATGTTCAGTGCTGGAAGTCAGATCCTGCCCACCAAAGCCCTCTAACACTGTTATGTCGCTTGCTGGTGTCAGGCGCCGCTTCAAGTAAGCGAAAATTCGCTTGGGAGCCATCTTCGCTGAACTTGCAAGCTCCTCTCCGAACTGCTGAAGTTTTGTACATTTGCGCTGTTGCATAGATCCCGTTGCCTGTTGTACACTTTGTCATTGTCGACAGTGCTCGACAGCAGGAATTTATTCCATAACATGTGCCGCCGTCTAGCCAACTGGCCACACTCTTTGTCGAACCAATGTGGCTTCACTGGCCCAGATTACTCAGCGCCTACTCAGACCGGATGCCATCGTACTTTGTACAAACCAAGTCAAAATAACTCAAAGCTGAAGTTGGAGAGCACGCTGTGTGGTTGGGTTGCGACTGGCAATCTCTATTGGACCACGGCTCATTTTGGATAAACCTCGGTCATTCCGATCTCGAGGATCGTATTTTGAATGGCAATATTTGGGTATTGCTCTATTCAACACTGGCACAGTGCTGGGAAGAGCAGCACCCAAATATTTTCAAGTCAAAATAATCTTTACGAACCCTAATGGGTTCATTTTCGGCATTTAGAACATCTAGCTTCGCTAGTTGACAGGTAGCTCTGCGTTCACAGTGTCGCCAAGGGTGGTCGCCCAATGACTTAAAGATTGGTACACAAAAGTACACGATCGAAGTCCACAATTGTGCACCGAACTCTAGCAACAGTTTGGAATGCAGATTCCCCAGCGGTAACGGATTGCGATGTGATCAGTTTGTGTCCATGGCTGGTTGGCACCATTTCATCCCTCGTCATATGTTGTATCCGAGGTTAACACTCGCGAGAAAGAGACGAGCATCACTTCACACACATGTAGGAACCATTTACGACGGTCTATGCCGTATTGATAACCCACCAGATGGGTCGATTCTGAAAGTCAGCGTTCGGACCACGGGCTGTGAGGAAGGAGCTGGTTTAGTCACAATTTGTGAAAGCGTAGGTAGCAATAATGAAAATACCTACCACCCACGCGTGCCTTCGAAGTTTTGAACGAGCCAACCAATCTGCTGGTGTACATCCGGATACTAATTGGAACTCAGGTGAATACAACAGCTTAAGCATGGGGTCCCAGAAAAACACCCGCACCAGTTTGATCGGTATTCGAATAGGCGCTCCAAAAAAGTGCCACCGGTGTCACATGAAAATTGTAGGGTAGATAGCTTGAGTCTTCCAGCCACGACGATAGGTTATCGAATGTTCCGGAAATTGTTGTCTACTGACACATGTACAAGAAAGTGCGCATGCCCGGGCATACCAATCTTAGTGAGGAGGGAGAGATCTAAGTAGGAGCAGACGAACGGAAGTTTTAATCTTGTTTGGACATGGATTTGTCGCCGTAGTCGGAGCGGCACTCTATGACTGAGCGTGAGTCGAAACTTGAAAAGTAAATTCATTAAAGGTAAGACGGGGGGCGAAGAACTGGGGGGGTTGCAAAGAGGGGGATGGAAGTAAAGTTGGAGGGGACGATAAGGACAACACTCTGTGAGAGACCTGAACAATAGCATTGCCACACCCATCCACTCAACTCGATGCAGCAAGCAGGGTGTCATTCGTCATACTCTGCGGTGGTTAAAGCATCAAAACGTTGCGTAAAAATGACTCCAGCATCGCCGGCAGCATAAACATTAGCAATACCTGGACATTTGCAAGTGTACTGGTGCTACACTGTCAAGTAAAGAATGTGGTTGGTATTCAATGCAAAAGTCATGGTAGTATATGACCAGAAATATCGTCAAGAGGCGCGAAGGTCGACAGGAGAACGGTCGTGGTCATCGAACAAATATCTGGGCTCAAAAGTCCAACCACAAGAAAGAGGGAAGCTGGGCACATTGTAACAGTTTTTAAATAGCTGTGCCCCACTAATTTTGACTCACAACAAAGGTGGTCGAGAAAACACGCTGGATCTATCCTTAAACTTGAAGCAGTTCGGTGGGGATAGCTCTGACAGATCCAAGGGAACAAAACACTCAGTATAGGTTAGTGTAACAAAGAACATTAGGAGTCCGTTTCCTGGGGAGGGGGAAGCGGAAAAATAGCTATAACGGAAATATGATGAAAAGATAAATCGGATAGCTGCAGCACTTCGACAAAGTGGGGACAGAACTGCGCGTACACGAACGGTGAGCCAGCGTGAATTACCGGGTCGCTCACGTTTATCTAGAAGTCGGATTTCACGGATAACGTGTGAACACAAAGGAGAATAGTGGGTGATCCGAGCGCTTTACAGTGAAAGACTAGGCACCAAAGTACAGGCCAGAGATAGCAATGCATGGTGAACTAAAATTGACAAGTGAGACCGACACATATGGCTGGTTGTTCAGTTACATATCATTGCTGCATGTTCTTTTGTGATTGATAAGAATGCACGAAATGGCGACGTTATCTCATAATCTATGTCTTCTGATTTTCCTGTTTGGAATAATTTGTTTTAAAAGATAGACAAGAGCAGAATCGTAGTTCGGATACGGAAATACGAACGGATTAGAGGTGACACTCGTAGAACAATAAAATTTTACTCACCTGAGAGTAGAAGCAAAACAATCGGACTGGCTTTAAAGGGACAAAGAAGAGAAGTGGTACGAGGATTTCAATGATAAAGGTGGACGCGACTGAGAGGCTGTGGAACCATCCAGGGAGATGATGAAAGTACCAAGCCAAAGGAGTTGGGATACACTGTGAAGAGTAGACAAGAGGATTATTAGGTAGTAGGGGAAAGCAGTGTAATACAAAAAGCCAATAAGAGATTATCCTTAGGTATTGTGATCGAGGAAATGCCAACACCGAGTTTATCCGAACACGTGGAACTAAGAACGATGGAAAGGTCCTCCCGGATAGCCGAATGCCGTCTGAGGGCAACTCCATCTCAATCATACTACAACGGTGTATTTCTCCAAGGATACAGTCCCAAAAGAAGCGCGATTCTCACAAAGGCATTAAATGTGCCGGTTGGCATTGTCAACTGACGGACTCGGAATCCCAGGTGAGCGAAGCTACTAAAAGTTGCACAGACCCTACAAACGGGGGCGATGACGTGAAGGGAGAAAACCCAACAGCGAAAAAACTAACGAGAGTGAATAGATCGACTAAATCTAGCGGTTGTTCGGCAACAATACAAATCGGTGGTGTCGGCCAAGTTGTGAATGAGCGTGAAATGCATACCGAGGTGACCAACGCCTTACGCGAACAGATTCATCCGCGCTACCATGGAAGCTGGGCGTGATCCAGGGAGCGCTACTTCGTCCACACGAGACAAAGTGTTAGAATTGTCCACCTGTTAGGATAGCAGCTTTAGAGGTGAACACCAAAAAGTACCACACATGAACAATACGAGAAAAAAACTGGGAAAAAGGAAGACGAGGTATTAACGGATGAGCATGCTGAAACCTAAATGAGTACATATGCCACGTCGACACTTCCTTGAGCACTTGTTAAACCCTAGTAACGAACACGAAAACTCGCTCGTCTGATGTGTTGCTGGATGTAAAAACAAAGAGGTGTGTAAGTGACCTGTGAATTCGGAACCTAAATATCATAAATGTTAGACTAAAGAGCAGTAACCAGCAGTGTCAAATGTTAGACAATTTGAATTTGAACACAACGGAACAAGAGCACTGAGTTACGCTACTGAAAAATATGACCATGTAAATGTTCGTGTGATTATATGTTGATTGCGTGCAATTCAAGGAGATAATAGCGTGTAAATCCCTGAGCATTATCGATTGACTGACCGTGTGAACTGTAGGACTAAGCGTCATCACAATTAAAGGCAATATCACATAAGCAGGTCAAACTGTTCCGCCGCCCTACAACCAGAAAGAACTAGGGAATAAGGAATAATAAGATGGAGAGAAGGAGAACCTAGCGTGAAAAAGTGCCCCAAGTGCCCACAACTAGTCGACAACATACGATCACAGTTAACCGGCTATCGTGCGAAGATAAGGCGGCATCAACGAGTAAGCTTCCCTGCGGCTTTCACTGCCTACGTCATAATCAGTCATTACCCTGCATATAACGCAAACACCAAACACTTTAAACAGGTAGCCCGATTAGGATACGGCACCAGACGTGCCACTAATGCCGACTAAGAACCATGTCAATGTCTGGAGCCAACGACAAGATTTGCCATGAGAGCTACTTGCTGGAAGGCGAGACGGAATAACATCACACAAATGCAAGACTCAAAAGAAGCTCGGCTGTTAAATACTTTAAAATCAGTTAGAAAGTGGCAGTGAGTAAAGACAATATAATGGTAGATCCGCTCTTGACAGCCATGCTAACACCCCTGCCAGCACAGTCGGACTGTCAGGAGTCGACTGAGAATCCGAGGCGGACTGTTAACGGATTCTTGTAGCCAGTTTAATGCTAAAGCAAAGTTTGTATTTAACATACAGCTGACCATAATGGTGTGTAACACCTTACAGTGGAAATGACCTGTTTCTGAGATGAGTATTAAAGTGTTCCGTAGAAACAAACCTTTAGCACACATTTCTGTGTGTGATTCCATGAACTTGCGTGCGTCAATTGCGTTCATGTGTTACAACCAAGGCAAGGAAATATAGAATAATGCGCATTGCTCTCAAGCTCTTTTTTATCCTAGCCCCACCTGGAGTGGAATATGGGGAGTGCCGTAAAAACATTTCCCGCAGTCCTTTTACAGTCCAAAGTATATTCAATTGAGACTTACTACGGACTTTCAGCGGACTGTCGTGCCGACAGGGACTTGTGTTAGTCGACAGATAAGTAAAGGAAGAAACCTACATGCAACTGTGGATCAGAGGTCACAGGTCGGTAAGACAAGTCTAGCTCGGAGCTTAGACCTATCACCTATGAGCTCATGGATGAGGAGACCGCAATTTGGATGTATTTGGTGGCAATTATTGTTTTATAAACAATGCTGAGAAACGAATTGTGCGATAAACCCATCAACTTCTTCTGAAACAGCAATGCAAATCTTGAGGAGAAATGATCATAAGCTTGTGTCTGTGTTAAATGTTTCAAAGACCTTCAGAAAAATATACATGGAAACTGCAGCACGGGGAAAGAGTTACAAAGACAGCCGAAGCACCAACCTGGGACTGGTAATGCCAGTGTAAAGCCTGTAGACTCCACCAAGCAGGGCAATTGCTCCTTAGTTTGACAACGCCAGCGGAGAACATCAGACGGAAGAGCAACCAGCGCAAAAGCCAAATGGAAATACGATCACCCGAGGTGAAAGAGAACGAAAATCCGGGAGCTACTTTGGCAAGTAGCAGTGCAAGGAACCCGGCTTCAACTAAAAGTAGGTCCCTGAAAATAAAATCCCCATATCTACAACTTACCATTGAAACCATAAAAATGTCTGACCAACCTGAAGTTGAGTGTATCGGATACAGAAATGAGAGGCTTACCTTCAAAATGGAAAAATACGCCAACCAAAGGAAGAGATAGACAGGAAGGGTTCTAAAACTTTCGCAAAATGCGGCCAAGAAAGAGAATACGATTCCAATGAGAACACACAATTCTAGCATTTGAAAAGTGTCCAGTTTCAGAAATGGACTCAGCCTTAGAAGATCTGGGTCGCCGTAAAAGTCCGATAAATTAGCTAGGGCTATCGAATTAGTTGGACTGTACAACACTTACGAGCATGATTAGTTAAACGAGCTGGATATATACCATTGTCACCGTACAATCCTGGGAGTTGAATGTAGATGGAGGAGAAGGCAAAAAGATAGACGAAGCTCAGTGCAGCCAAGAAACGGCTTTTCGGTAGCACTTTGGTCAAACGAGCCATAAGCTTTGATAGCGAAAGAGGTTAGGAATTCCAAAGTGATTAGTCAGCACGGAGAGAAACGTCGAACACGACTGCGACCAGCAAACCTGCAAAATTGATGCAAAGTAAACAGTGAGCGAGAAAGTGCTGCATCAGTCTAGGGAGTTTGCCGCAAAGTGTACCTAGGGCTGGGAAATTGGGAGAAGCAATGCTGTTTACGCGTGCGTTTGAACGGGAAAAATGCAAAGGCAACAAGATGGTTGTCGTTTGCGTAACGATAGTGACTGCGTACGCAAAATGCACAGAGGTGATTTGCAACAGCCTTTTAATCAATCATATGAGGATAGTTGAAGATAGTTTCCCATGGATGACGCGTGGATGGAACACAGGTGAAATTCAATCAGTTACTCAGTAGTGAGCTTCAGGAGGCAAATTTGTATGCGTACACAAACCGTGTTATTCGAAATATTTTGTAATCGGATATTATCAAAGCAACAACAAGGCAGTGTTCTATGTAACGTAGCGTTGCATGACGAAGCTGAGACCAATAGATGGTTGGTTAAACTTGAAGCGTGCTAAGACGAGAAGATGTACCCTGGTTTGTATCTGAAATTGCAGCCAAACGATGAAAAGAAACGTATGCCTATACTATCGAAGATGGGGTTCGTGTTATTGCACGGGGATCTGAGGCAACACAGAAACATTTGCCTATACGATGTGGACTTGGGGTTCGCTTTATTGGTTTTTACCACAGCATCATTGGCCCCTTTACATTTCAACTTTTGTATTTCTACTTTTAGACAGGTAGAGCGACTTGCAACATGTCTGTTAGCCCACTTGTTTTGTTATACTAGTTCAGATCCCTTATCAAAGGTCCCGACCTGCAGGAATTATATCAGTGGCCAAGTAGTTAGGCAAACAGGATCAGCACAAAGCGAAAGATGAACTTTGGTACAGCGCAATGGCGCGAAGAGACTTGGTATCAACGCGGTGCGATGGTTTGACTACCTCTGTGATCCAGTGATCTATAATGAATGGCGGTTTCCGAACGCCTTAAGAGTCACTCACATCGAAAAGGTCACTAGTCAAGGATCAGGACACTCTTCTTCCAATTCCTGGATACGGGAAGCAACGGTCGTCGGGGTCACAAGCTCAGGTTGTTTAGCGTGCATCACGAACGCTACTGATTTTCTCTGACAGCAGGAGACCACTAGCATGACTCAAGGAGTTGTTACCATCAACGCAAAGCCAGACTGTGCATGCTTAATGAAGCGAAAAACCGATACAAATCGGTTGCGGTCGGCCGTGATTGCAAATGTACAATGAAACTCGTGTGAATTGCACGCAATCCTCCAACGCTGCGTGTATGCGGCTTTGAGCAGAATCAAATGAAACTATTAAAATTCAGAAACATTGCGTTAACATTTGGGTAAGACTATTGATCCGAAGATCTGAATGGCGTCGTTAATAGGGCTTCGTTTGCCTCCCCGAGTTGTGGGTTACGAGCGCTTCAAACCAAATCACAATGAGTTGTTAAATATCGCAGCAATAAATACCTGTGGATCGGTTGAGCAAAGTACAGCCAGAAGACTCTACTCTCAAATTCGAACCGCAATGTTGTCAACGTTAAATGAAGTGTAAACATAGAATGCAGTGTTGCGGACCGGTAACACGCAACATTTATCAACTCAAATACGGTTCCAGCGACTGAACTGGCATGGACTCTTTTCAGTTCTAATCGTTGTTCAACTCAAGATTGCGCGTCACGATTCATGCAGGCAACATGTGCTTTGAATGAGCCCATAAAAACTTGCTGGCAATTTTCAGCTGAACACAAGAGAATATTGCTTGGATGCCACGGGGTAGTTAGTATGAAATGGGACAGGAAGTACGATATAGGAGGGAGCCAAAACGTAGGTTGTGTGAAAGCTCGCAAGAGGTTTAGTTGTGCCCAGGAATAACAGAAGAATGCCTCGTTGGAAATAATTTACGGCGCATTTCGGGTATTAAACGAATATCAGTTGGGCTGTGCTAACTGTGATCCCGTTGCTCATTACACTTGAAGCTGATGGAGTCTCTTCGGTCTAGTTGATATTGAGCGGTCCTGGCATATTCTAGTTCCTTTTGAATATTTACACTCAAACTATGAGAAGCTGAACATCGCTTGCCGCCTGAGAACAGTAGCAGTGCCAGAACACAAACGTGGCAGTCGGTAAGCTTTTGCCAACGGATCACTCACCAGCCTATTTCCTCAAGAGTGGTGGAGGAAGTTGTCAAGAAAGACAACCCGCTGTCTCGAAATCTCATCCACGAGTCCCAACACGGGCTCCTAAGAACATAATTCTATCAAATATGTCAATATGAGCTCTTAGAGCACGTAACCACAAAGATAATCTCCAGCATGAAGAAGGCTCATAGCCAAATTTTCTGTTCGGTTTTACTGAAAAAAACTCACGTTCTTTAGCAATGGAGATAAAGTGCTAAATTGGCCAAATAGTATCTTACCAAACACAAATGATTCGGGTGGGCCACATTATTTCATAGACTTACAGGACGTACAAACGCGGTGAGTGTTGATGCAGTAGGTCGGAACACAGCAGGTTTTCATCTCCTCAAATGACCTCTGGTATTATTCGGACCAGTTCCAGCGCTTATGCTTGGTCAACAGTTCAGTGTGTAAACCAGGCAAGCGATATATGTGCGGTAGGAACGGGCCAAAATGGCTCATGAGTCCTAAGTAGGACGTTAGCGTTGTAGCAACTTTAGGCGGTGGTATCTTTTTGATTTCTTCCATGCTCGCTAGGGCTGGACGCTTGCCGTTTCCGCCCATTATAAGGCCGAGAAAAGTGATCTAGTCCATATAGAAGGCACATTTCGCAGGTCGAAGTCCGAATGCATATCCTACAACACGACTAAGAACACGATACAACATTTCGAGTAGGTCAACAACACGATCCGCAACAACAATGATGTCGGCCAGTTATGAAGCTGTCCCATCAACATCTGCCACCATTTCTTGTGTCCACGCGTTGAGCTTGGTGTTGCTTTAGCCTCTGTCAGTTTCTTAGGCATCAGAATTGGCCTAGAATGAGACATTTGTGTCATGCGCTTGATTATGCCGATCATTTCGGTCTTTCCCATTACGCCCATGCGGCCACTGAACACTTGCTTGATTTGCACTCAGCGTGTAGGGCCTCGTCCCAAAGTCATCACATGCACAATTTGTCTGCACCGTGTTCACGCTTCCCGTGACAAGTCGCTCCATGCAACCGACATCAAATTCTGTCGCTCACAACCACGAACGGTACTGCGGTACATCTGTCCAGTTTGCGTCCCCATCATTGCAAATCCCAGGTGCGACACCCCTAGCGACCATTCCACCAAGACGTGGCCTATGATTAGTTCCGTTATATCGTCTCTTACGAACCCGTCCTCCGCATTGCGTAACAAGCAGTCGCAGATGCAGTCGCTCTGGTCACCACGAATCGTCGAGCCGTCTGGCAATAATACCCGCTCAAAAGTGCGCTTGCCTAATCTGGAAGAACAGCTTCAGAATCTAATGCAGAAAGTCGACGGCTTAACCAAACGACGACAGCAACTTCCCAGCCGCCCTGACTCACATGTCATCTCACTGTTATAAACCACTGGTTAGTCCAACACTCGTCGACGCCCAACGCTCCAGGCGGAGGCCCTCCCACCAAATAAGCTTGCTAGCGCCCCACATCGGCGTTCGACTAAACCAATAACGAGTAGCCCCACTCCTAATGCTGTTATTTATATAAATGTGCCAGAGTGACCCGCAAGTTTAGAATCGACATTCACATGATTCCACTAAACGGAGCTCGATCTGTGTCGCGTTAAACTCCCCTGAGACCAAGCCCATTAGTCTCAAGAATTCGGCGTTTTGACTTGCAACCAGGCCTAAGTATAGAGCATGTCCTTTTGTCAGCACACCTACTCCGAAACAACGCGTCTCTCGGCATTTGCCATATTCGTATCTTTCCCGACATTCCTTGGAATAAGCGCGCTGCGCGCAGACAGCAACTGACGCCACGCACTGAACCATGATCTATCATAGTGGATGGCGTTACAGTACTGTGCGCCCATTAGGCAACCTTACAACAGCGACAACAGCATGAGTGGAACCAATGGCGGTTCCTTCAGCAGACACTAAATATTGTCAATGTAATCTCGACCGACGTTCACCGCTTAGCTAGTCCATAAGTTATACAGAAACAGCCCATCGTTTTCCGAAATTTACATTCCTCACTGCTAGCATGGAAACCGATGCCACCACCAACTGGTATGCTAATAAAAGACGAGTACCACCAGATATCCATCTGCGTCCTGAAGGTCACCCGGTGCCGAGACGCACAGTTTTCCACAGACCCCTAGCAGCAGCAGCCCCGTCGGTACCGACACACCCACACCAAACCGTCACCAGGCAGTCCATCACCGAAACAACTGCCTGAAGTTGACTTGGCAGCGGGAAATGAAATCACTGACGACCAAACTGGTCCGTCTCGCCTTGTGCTTGGCTTGAGACTTTACAGGATAGGGCTCGCAACTGACACCAGTGGCGCGTCTGTTGCCGTCCTCTAATCGGATTGCCTGTTTAAAGTGTGTTTGGTGCTGAGTTATCTGCGGGGTAAGGGCTGATTATGACGCGGGCCAGTGAAAGTCGCAAGAGAGTTGTCTCGCCGATGCCGCCTTATCTTTGCACGGTAGCCAGCTGTTGGTGACGGTATGTTGTCTTCACAAGGTGCAGGCGCCTTGACCCTGAAAGTTTGCTTAGGGAATTAAAGTCTTCAGGTAAGTCCCCCTTCTCTCCCACTTATTATTCTTTATTTCATAGGTCATCAAGGTTGTATGGCAGCGAAGTATCAGTTCAAATGGCTGATGTACTGCTGCTGCTGATGATGAACAAACTGCCTCACTGTCTGGAGTAACCAACTAACCTAGACATTCCAACCTACAGCCTTTCAACAAACCACACGCCACTACCCATCTGTGCTCCCAAGACCCACACCTTGCTTCACCAAAATCCAAACTTAGCGACTACACCACTCTAAACCAAAAAAACGGTGCCCCGCCGGTCGCCTGTTGACCAGC